CTCCTCTACATGGAGACCCTCGGTTACTTCTCCTCCGCCTATTCTCCTTGAGGGGGATGAACATTTTGAGATTGCTGATATCCTTGATTCCAGACTTAAGCGTGGTAAGCTCTGGTACCTCATCGAATGGATAGACTTCGGACCCCAGCACCGCGAATGGGTGGAAGAAGGGGATATTCGGGCCCCTTATCTGCTTCGTGAGTTCCACAGGAAGTTCCCGGCCAAACCGGGAGGTCTCCCGCCCAAACCGGGAGTTCTCCCGCCCTGCCCGGGGGAAGGTGGTTAATGTGAATTTTTGAGGGGGCAGTATGTCAGCAAGCTGCCATGGTGTTCTGTGTTAGTTGTATCTCTGTACAGTTGCTAACCCCCCCCTGCCTGTGCGCCAGTATTTTACACTGCTGTAATGCCTAAGCCAAACAACTGGAGGATGTGATGGGGGAGTACGCTTGACTGCCAGCTTGTTGCTTTTAGAGCCTGGGAACTGCACCTGTATTATGTCTGGAGATAGCCTGGTTCTCAGGGAATGAGCGCGCAACCGTTTCCTTTCACCCGCCAGCGGGAAAGTGACCCATTGGTTCTGTACCTGGTTCAAATCCCTTTATCATGTTTGCCCTAACCGTTTGTAGTCAGTTCTAACAAAGAACGTGTTTGAGTGTCTTTCCAAAGCTTTGAAATAAATTTTGCTTTTCTTTAAAACGTGGATTTATTCTCGATGCTTGGGGATCCAAGGAAAGCTCCCCAGGAAAGCTGGATTAGACACCGGGCGGTAATTCTCCCGCTCCTTTTGATCGAAGGAGGGCTTCTTTAGCCAAGGTCTAACAACCGCCTCCCTAAGGGAGCTGGGGAGACGGCCCTGTGAGGGAGGCAAACTAATCAACAGTCTCAAAGGGCCACTTACCACTTTGTGGCCAGGAGGGACGAGGATCCAAGGAGCAGGTCGGTCGTTGGCTTCGCAGCGGTCAGGATCCTGTCAACCTCCATGCCGGGTGAGGAGGCCAAAAGACTCCTAAAGAGAGCCAGGCAGGGTGCAAGCGGAGCCACTGTCCCACGGCCGTCATCCAGTTCAGCAGCCAACTCCAGGGGGAGCCCAGAGACTTTGCCCACAAAAAAGCTTGCAAATGAATCGCAGCTGAGAGCCAAACCAGCATCAGTTCCAGGAGACACCAAAGGGGGGGTCCGTTGTCTAACCAATCTGAATAATTGAGCGGGTTGTGAGCTGGCAGACGCAGCAGCGGAGGTAAGTAGGGTAGTCTCCTTTCGCTGCTTTCGCTGCCGCCTCCTCGTAGGCCTTCAGTGTGTCCTCACAGCCTTGTCCCGTGTTCGTTGCCAATTCTGCTCCAGCCGCCTGAGCAACCTCTTCACATCTCCTAGACTCTCATTATACCAGAGAGCCACACAGAGGCGAGGGCGTAGAGGGCGCTGGGGAGCAAAATCCGATCGAGAGCTTCCTGAAGACCTCTGCTCCATATCTCAGTCAGCTCATCAAGGGGACGGCTGGCAGGCCCAGATGACTCCCGCAGAGCATTTTGGGAGTTATCAGGATCCACCCCCAAACCGTCTCTGAAGAGAGACGAAGAAGAAGAAGAGACTGGATTCATACACTGCCCTTCACTCGGAGTCTCAGAGCGGCTTACAAACTCCTTTTGCAAGGACAGCTCCAACAGAACTATGGCTTGCCCAAGGTCACACCAGCAGCTGCAAGTGGAGGGGGAGTGGGGAATCAAACCCGGTTCTCCCGGATTAGAGTCTGACCACAGCACCAGTTCGCAAACAACCACACTATTCAGACTAAGCCCTGCGGGAGAGATCAAATCTAGCCCGTGGCCTGCTTCATGCGTGGGGGCCGATATACCACCTGGGAAAGTCCCAGTGTTGCCATGGCAGCCATGGCGTGTGAGGCTGCACCACGACTCAATGCCGCCGTGTCCACTCAGCCACTGCCTCTGAGAGCCTCAGAAGGCCTTGCGCGATGGAGAGCTACTGCTAGCCAGGGTAGGCAGTTTTGATGCTGATGGACCAGTGGTCAGTAGAGGCGGCTTCATGTGTCCATGGGACTCTTGGAGGAGGCCTGTTATCGTTAAGGTCTGCTTGCACTTACGTGAGGGGGCGTGTGTGTGTGTGTGCACTCTGTCCATGCCCAGAGGCTTTGGTCACTGTTCTCTACTGCAGTGCTGAGCTCCAGCGTACAGTGATTTGGGGCCTGGTCCTCCCTTCCCCACTACCCCCCCCCCCGGCCAGGCCTCCCTTGGCATTCTGCCTCAAGCGACTGGCCGCTGCCCAAGTGCGCCACCAGCATCGTCTCGCCCCTCACCCTGCTTGCCAGGCTACAGCACCGATGCCTGCACCCTTCTCGGCAGGTCGCTAGCCCCCCCCCTCTCCCCGACTCTGCCCTCCCACCCCAGAGGGGGCATCCTTGGTGCGAGAGCACACCCACCTGCCATTTGCGGAACACGTGCCCCCCCCCCCCCCCCCCCCCCGCACACC